AACTTCGGCTTTCGGAGATAAATCGTGTCGCCACTTCGGTTTCGGTGGTGTAATCGTCAGGTGACTGATTCTCTCACACTCATGGGGCGTCCTGCACAGGTGCGAGAGGGACAGTGCGACGGAAGCGTCCCTCGGTATGAGTGTGCAGAGGAACCAGGCAGTGAACGGATGCGCGACAGTTGCGCTCAGCAGCAGACTGATTCCGAGAGTCGTTTTCGTCGCTCTGTCTCTCTCGCACCTACACGGGACGCCCCATGAGTGCGAGAGAGACAGATCGACGAAAATGACTCTCGGAATCGGTCTGCAAAGGCAGCCATCAGCCACTGTCTTGGGTCGCTTTCGGGTGTTTTCGCCCCGTCGACAGAATTTCGGAAAGAGCTGGCCTGGACTTTGCAGTGCAGTGTGCAACACGAGGCGTGGTACCCAAAGGCCTGGACGACGTCCGGAATGCCCTGGTGCACGGATTGGCTTTGACCAATCAGGGAAGCCCCGCTTTGGCGCCAAAATTGGGAAGGAAGCTCCGTGATTGGTCCCTGCCACTGCTTTCGTCGCTCTATCTCTCTCGCTCCTGGAGTGGACGCCCCATCAGTGCGAGAGAGACAGATCGAGGAGACCAGTGAGCGGAATCAGCCTGGAGAACAACCGCGGGTGCATTTTCGACGCGCCTTCGACTGCAATCGAACCAACGAAAAAATAAATGGTTTGCGCAGGCTAGGCTCATGCCTATATTATTTTGGATCACTCATTCCTAGAGACATTTTCCCCTCCCATTCCTCTAAGGAATTACATGCAAAGAACAGGTTTAGCGCGCTGTACGTCATAATCCATCGTCGGGTCTCTATAATTCGCTCCGGAACAGTTTTGTGTCTTTCATTTTTCTCGGAAATTTTTGCGGTACGAATAGCGACCACAAAATCAATGCGATTTTGTTGTGCATATCATGTACTCAAAATTGAGCATGCATTTTCAAACGCGTGCACAATTTTCTGCAAAGCCAATTTTAAAAAAAACTCCTTAGCTGTTAATTTAGTGTGCGTGCCCTTAAATTTTTGCGCTTGTCTATGAAATTGAGCTTGGCTATTTCCATCATTTTCGAGGCAATTCACTAGCGACAGGGACGCGGTTTTTAGGGTGTGCGTTTCGCGGCGGCTGGGGTTCGCGGTCGATGCCATGATGCCATGGCCACGCCGCAGCCCAGCATTGTGATGTAAACGGCACTGCCACGATTCGCTGCCCTCTTCATAATTAGTGACAAAGGGCGTGAGAGAGAGAGAGAGAGAGAGAGAGAGAGAGAGAGAGAGAGAGAGAGAGAGAGAGAGAGAGAGAGAGTGTGTGTGTGCGCGCGCGTGTGTGTCAACTACTCTGCGTGGGACGTGTTCCCCAGGGGATGGGATGGCGTTTCGTGGGTGATTATCTCGCTGTCGCAAGGATTTTTTCGAGGGCTCATTTCAGTTGAAAACACTGTTTTTCCGAGTGTCCTGTGCCGTACTGACGGCCAGTGGCGACTCAACTCCATGGTTCTCACGTCGGGTCACGACCCCGCATTGTTTTTTTCCCAGCGGCCAAGTTTGTCATTTTCATTCAGCCGCGCCGAAAACTGTGGAAGACCGCCTCCACCTTAATCTAGTCAGGGCCGCCGTGAGCGCGGGGCTGCGGCGAGGAGACGGATTCCGAGAGTCGCTTTCGTCGCTCTCTCTCGCAACGATGCAGGACATCATTAGTGCGAGAGAGACAGAGCGGCGAAAACGACTCTCGGAATAAGTCTGTAGGCCGCCGAAGCCAGGCACTGCACAGTGGGCCAGAAGACCGGTGGAGGCGGACAAAACTCTAGACGCGTTTTGAGCTCCAGAGTCGCTAAATAGGACTCGAACCGAACGTGTGACACCACCAATGGATTCCTCGTTCGGAAAGCAATCCATTGGTGGGGTCACACGTTCGGTTCGAGTCCCATCTAGCGACTCTGGAGCTCAAAACGCGTCTAGAGTTTTGTCCGCCTCCACCGGTCTTCTGGCCCACTGTGGCGCGGCGTGGCGTGGTCCCTTTTGGGTCACTCTTCTAACTCCGTCACTCCGGCCGGAACAGTGGCGTGGAAACACAAGTGCGCGGAGTAGCGAGCGCTTTCGTAGGAATACGAAATCGAAGTCCCAGAGGAGCTAGGGGGCCGAAGGGGGCCCGGTGGGGCCGGCCGGTGCTAATGGAGCCTCTCCGTACTCACCGGTAGGTCAGTGGCGCCAAGCCGCACCAGGCGGGGGTGGAGGGGGAAGGGGTCAGGGGGCCACGAGTCCGAATGCACTGCCTGCATAATGGGCAAAAATGCCCCCTCCTCTGGCTTGCCAGCGGACTGATTCCGAGAGTCGTTTTCGTCGCTCTGTCTCTCTCGCAACTATACGGGACGCCGCATGAGTGCGAGCGAGACAGAGCGACGAAAACGACTCTCGGAATCGGTCTGCTGGCTGCCTGGCTTTCTGGTTGGGGCCGGCCGGGATCGGCCACGCGGAGTCCTGGCCGCGGGACGGAATGTTCCCGCGGTGGGCGGGCCGCGGGCGAATGGCGGCAGGGCAGGTCTTCCCCGGGGCGGGCGGACGCGGACCGCGGCCACGTCGCGTGACCGCGTGACCACCACGTGCCGGAAATGGGGTTCGGACGACACCCGGTCGCCCAGCCGAACGAGCCGAACGTGGTCGACGGTGCGCGTAGGTAGCCGAAGATGTCCGAAAGTAGCCGCGGGCACTGAGGCCTGCGGCTTGCTGGCGTGACGAGGCCAAAGCAGTGTCACGATTCCTTGCCCATCCCGTTTAACGGTGCGGGTGCGACTGGGGGCAGTTTACCCCCTCCCCTTGGGTAATTAGATAAGCCGCGTCAAAGGAAGGCAAAAAGCCTACTCTGCCCGTGTAAGTGGTCTAAACGCACCCTTTTAAACCATCTCACCAAAATTCTGAGGCCACGCACAGTGGGGCGGAAGACCCGCGGTAGAGACGCGTTTTCTGCTCCACAGTCGATGAATGGGACTCGAACCGAACGTGTGACCCCACCAATGGATTGCTCTCCGAACGAGGAATCCATTGGTGGGGTCACACGCTCGGTTCGAGTCCCGTTCAGCGACTCCGGAGCTCAAAACGCGTCTAGGATTTTGGCCGCCCCCACCGGTCTCCTGCGGCCCGTAGGCCGCCGTGCCTGCAGTGCGGTCACCTCTTTGTCGACCATCGACGATCGATGCTGTCCATGCAGGCCCCACGTGGGGCCCTCGGGGCCCTCTAGGCCGTCATTGAGTGGGGCGTGGATGGGGCCACCTGCTACGCGCCCAAAACGCCCCCCGCCGAAGTCCAAGTCGAAGGGCGTGCACGGCGGACGGGCAAGCAGCAGGCCGATTCCGAGAGTCGTTTTCGTCGCTCTGTCTCTCTCGCGCTCAAGGGGCATCCCGCATAGGTGCGAGAGAGACAGAGCGACGAAAACGACTCTCGGAATCAGTCTGCGGGCGAGGCGAAGCAAGGGCCCGGCCTGCGTCAACGGCCTGCCGCGTGCTCGCCGCGCGCCCTCGGCTCGCCAAGGGAAGCGGGTCACTCGGCGTTGGCATTACCATCGCGAGGGAAGTTCGTCAGCACGCCGACCTGTCGACTGATTCCGAGGGCCGCCTTCGTCGCTCTGTCTCTCTCGCACTCGTGGGGCGTCCCTTATAGGTGCGAGAGAGACAGAGCGACGAAGGCGGCCCTCGGAATCAGTCGACTGTAGGCACCTACCTGCGGGGCGGGGGGAGGGAGAGTTCACGACCCCTGGCACCCACTTTGGGCCATCCCTGGTGGATGGATATCCAACCCTCCACCAGAGTCGAGCCTCTCTCTCAGAGGCACAGCACTGTAAGTGGAAGCTTGAAGTACCGGCTCCACGACGCCCCCTTCCCCCTCCTGCCGTCTCTCTCAACCCTTTGTCCCGCACCCCATCCCTCGTGCTTCCCCGCCTCCCTCTGCAGACTGATTCCGAGAGTCGTTTTCGTCGCTCTGTCTCTCTCGCATCTGCGGGGGGCGCCCCATAAGTGCGAGAGAGACAGCGCGACGAAAACGACTCTCGGAATCAGTCTGCTGCCGTCGGGGGACGTGATGCGTGCCGTCACACTGCAGACGGATTCGGGAGAGTCGTTTTCGTCGCTCTGTCTCTCTCGCACTCATGGGGTGACCCGTCAAGGTGCGAGAGAGACAGAGCGACGGAAACGACTCTCGGAACCAGTCTACTGGCTGGACAAAGACCGAATGAAAACAAAAACTCTAAACGAGCGCGCGAGCCGCGGAGAAATGCGAATGAGAGTCCATCCATTCAGTAGACTGAGATTCGTTTTGTGGCTCTGTCTCTCTCGCACTCATACAGGACGCCCCATGAGTGCGAGAGAGACAGGGCGACGAAAAGGACTCTCGGAATCAGTCTGCAGGGCCGGGCCGTCGGGCCTCAACATGGTCGGGCACGCTCACGGTGTAGACGGGGGTGGCGGCGTAAGATGCTGGCCGCAACGCGCAACGCATCCTCTGGCCAGTCATCGCGCTCCGCCAGGGTAAAAGCAAGAAGGCCCCAATCAGCTGATACGGGCATGAAGCAGCCCACGTCAAATTCTAATTTAAGTATTACGGCCACAGTCCGGCCGCGTCCGCTGCGGAGTCCGGCAACCCGTGCCGATTGGAAGGCTTATCGCTCGCAACCCGCTTCCCTCCGTAGCAGGACCTTCCCTTCCGCTCACCATGTCCGACGATGGTGAGGAAGCAGGAGCTAGATACACCTGGGTCTAGCAGAAGCATCAGTAGCTGTCAACAACGCCTATTTACTCTTTCCAGTCTGAAGGAGACTGTCCGCCTGAAACTAGGATGAACATGTCCTCTGTCACCATGACTTGCATTAAATTTGTTGGTTCCTTATTCACGACTGAAATTTGGAATTGAAGGCACCTGTTGGTGACAATGGGACATCTCATTCATTCTCAATGAAGTGTGCTAAAGATTGCTTTCTTACTGTTGCAGACGAACGAGGCTGTGAGGAGAGCTTGGTGCTCTTGCGCCGCTCTCTCAAGTCAGCAAACATGGCCTCTGAGGGAAAGAACTTTGAAGGCAACGTACCACACATTTTCGTCACTCTTGGTGCTTCTGTAAGTGTAAAACACCTGAAGTTAACGAAATTTTAAGCCTGGACCTGTATGTAGTTTTTTGTTTATTCAATGTGTTTTCTTTGTTTTTCCTATTCATAGGGAGACCTAGCCAAGAAGAAGATTTTGCCCACTTTGTGGTGGCTCTTTAGGGACAGTCTGCTCCCCGCCAACACCATCTTTTATGGATATGCTCGCTCCAAACTTACCATCGAGGAAGTCCGTGAAAAATGCCATCAGTACATGAAGGTATACAGATTGCTTCCACTCATAGTTTAAAATTTGCGCCTTATTCAATTGTCCCGTTACATCTAAAATTACTTCAGGTCACAATGTTTAAAGAGTAGAAGGTTATAACTCCTTTTCATTTATCATGATTACTTAAATAAATTCTCTTACTTATTTTGCAGGTGAAGCCGGATGAGGAAGAGCGATATGAAGAGTTTTGGGCCGCAAACAAATACTTTGCTGGTAGTTATGACAAACGTCAAGATTTTGAGATGCTCAACCAGGAACTCTGCAAGGCTGAGGGGCCTTCCAAATCAGCAAATCGGCTCTTTTATCTGGCTCTGCCTCCCTCAGTGTTTGAGCCTGTGACAGTTCACATTCGCAATACATGCATGGGAGAAAAGTGAGAACACAGCTACCCTGTATCTTTTACTGATGCTTCATTTTTTTCCTATAAAAGGAGTGTAACATAGCAAATATTTAATTCTAGGGGCTGGACACGAGTTATTATTGAAAAGCCATTTGGTAAAGACAGTGAGAGCTCTCAGCGTCTTTCAGATCATCTTGCATCTCTGTTCAAAGAAGAACAAATCTATCGTATTGATCATTATCTTGGCAAAGAGATGGTACAGAACCTAATGAGCTTGAGGTACGGGTTTGAGCCAATTTTCCCTTTTAGTTTATGTTATGTAAGCCATAATTTTAATTGTTGTTCTCTTTTGCTCTCAACCCCTTCTCAGGTTTGGCAACAGAATTTTCAGTCCCACTTGGAATCGTGAGTGTGTGGCTTGTGTCCAGATAACGTTTAAGGAACCGTTTGGAACTCAGGGCCGTGGTGGATATTTTGATGAATTCGGTATCATTCGTGATGTAATGCAGAACCATCTTCTCCAGATTCTGTGTTTGACAGCAATGGAAAAGCCTGCCTCTCTTCATCCTGATGACATTCGAAATGAAAAGGTACTGAAAATCTTTTATCATTGACAGTGTATCTTAACACATGAGACATTTTTGAGACTAATTTACAAAATATGTTTACATTACAGGTAAAAGTTCTGAGGTGCATCAAAGAGCTTGGTGTTGATGATGTAGTACTTGGACAGTATGTTGCAAACCCAAATGGAAAAGATGAAGACTCCCGATTGGGCTATTTAGACGACAAAACTGTACCTGAAGGTTCATCCACACCTACCTTTGCTCTTGCAGTCCTTTACATCAACAATGAACGTTGGGATGGAGTCCCCTTCATTCTTCGTTGTGGAAAAGGTTTGTTGCATGTCTCATCTTATTGATACATTTTGCCTTGCTCTAAATCTCTATCATCTCATGTTTTTGGGGGTTTCTTCTTTACAGCTTTGAATGAAAGGAAAGCAGAAGTACGAGTACAATACCGAGATGTGCCTGGAGATATTTTCAATGGTCAAGCAAAACGTAATGAAATGGTCATCCGAGTACAGCCAGGAGAGGCTGTTTATATCAAGCTTATGACTAAGACACCAGGCATGAACTTTGAAATGGAGGAAACTGAACTTGATTTAAGTTACAACAGCAGATACAAGGTGAAAGATAGCTTGCAGTTTGATTTGAGAGAATTTCTTCTTATTGATGTTGTGCATGGCACTAATGTTTTTTCTCTCATTTCCTTTAGTCTGTGAAAATGCCTGACGCTTATGAACGTCTGATTCTTGATGTTTTCTGTGGCTCTCAAATGCACTTTGTCCGCTCTGATGAGCTCTCAGAAGCCTGGCGTATTTTCACTCCCCTCTTGAAGCAAATCGAAACTCACAATGCTCCTTCTATTCCATACATGTAAGTATTGAGATCCTTGTAATCATTGCACCCATGCCTCTGAATAAATTTATATTGTGGCCTTTCTTTGTTTCAGGTATGGAAGTCGTGGTCCTAAGGAGGCTGATGAGATGGTGAAGCGGCATGGATTCAAATACTATGGCTCCTACAAGTGGGTTGAGTCGCAGAAAAATCACTTGTAATATAGATGATTCTTGTTCAGCATTAGTTGAATTTTGAAATTCTGTAGTACTGTGAGAAATGATTTGTTTCATGTGTGAGGCAATACCATAAGTCCATTTGTTTACATCAATCTCTCTTTAAATTATTGAACTCTTTGATAAGTTTTATGATAAAGGTGCTTTACTCTGCAATAATGTTACATTCCAGTTCAGCATTAATTATATTAATTTTAGTATACTGTCCTAAATGATCAGAAGTGCTTTGTTTTCTTGATTTGATATGTTCTTTATATCCCTTGAAATGGGAAGATGTTAAAAATTCCTTAGCCATGCAAAGGCCTAAAATTGTACCTGACAGGAATGTAAATTATTTATTTGTTGTTATAAATTGTCTATTAAATATTACATTGATATTTTTTCATGTGGCATAAAGCTCCAGTCGACTTAAAATATCAGCCGTCCTGTAATTTTGTCTAGAGAGGATAAAAGTTCCCCTAGATGTGCATGTTGTTATTTGCAAGTAGAAATTGTCATCCATATTTATTCGTCACTCTGCTGTACCATGATTCTCATCTGACTTAGAGAAAACACAATCATGTGGTTGTTCGGGTTTTTACTACGAAAGATGGTTATCAAACTGTTGTTATTTAAATGCATTTATACTTTTTTTAAAAAAATTTATCAACTTTTTTTATTTGTTTTATGTTTTTTTTTGTCTCTCTACCCTCTTAAGCAGGGTATGAAATGTTTGATGTGTATGTACCATCTAAATTATATTTTGTATACGTGTGTATAGCTGTCCAAGAGAGTCTAGATCACATTTTTTGTTCACATAATTTTAAGAAAAAGGTTGTGCTTTATTTAATAAAGCCCTCTGAGTTGTATTGTTATTGCTGCTAAGAATATTTATTGTACTGACCATCTGATTAAATTCAGTGCAAACTACAGATGTTAAGCCTGCCCAGCCAGGACTAGCCAGGACAATTCTTCATAATGATCACGATCATTTAGAAATGTCATTTAGCATGTGGTGTGATATATTGTCAACTATTCCTCCCTGTTATAGTACAATTGTCCAATTACTTTTCCTGTGTGACTTAAAAGTGATATTTTGCTGTAGAAATTTCTAGTTATTCATGCGTGAACGTGCCACTTACCTAATGTACCACTTACCAACGCAGTACCAACTCAAATCAAACGTTTTGAACCCAAACAAAATTTTTCTTGGTGAAAGAAAGTTCTTGGTTGTATCGATTAAGACTCGTATGAATTTGTAGGTCTATTATGTATCATGAAAATTGGTGAAGGATAAACAAGCATCATCTAGAATCTAATCACTTTGATTTCTACTGTACTTAATCTTGTAATCTACTTTTTGAAATGTTTTATACTTGTGAAATCTTTTTATCTGGTGTGTGATTGAGCTCTACTCCTTTAAATTAGTCATGTAACACTGTGTGCATGTTCCCTCGCAATTTCTGTTAGTTAACATATCACTTTTCAGTTTCTATGCAGTAGTGTTTCGAAAGAAATAAATTTTTGTTAAAAGTTGACTGTTTTCTTGGCATTTTAAAACATTGTTTTGTTATTTAAAAAAAATTCCTACCTGTGCCTAAAGAAAACCTTTTCAGATTCTAGCTCAACATACTCTAATTTGGGTCATTTTGAAATTTTGATCCTTCCGGTGTCCTCAAGTAAACAGAGGAAAAGATTCGCCCACGTGGGAGTCGAACCCAGAACCCTGTCCCGCCAGCCGTCTCCTTTACCATCTCGGCCACCCAGCCATTCCCAGGTGACGTAATCAATCTTAGAGTGATGGTACCGGGTTTGAGAAGTAAACTGGAAAAGATACACTCGCCTGGGAGTCGAACCCAGGACTTCCTTCCGCCGGCGACCTCTCTACTCTACCATCCCAGCCACCCAACCGCTGGCAAATGCAGCGATCAATCTTAGATTGATGGTTCTGTCGTCTGGTCTGGCTGAGGAAGATGCTGTTCTTCGTGAGCGTGAGATCCGAACCCCCCAGTCCCTCCCATCGCGGCGGGCACCTCTGGTCACTGAGCCACAAAATAGTTTCCCCCCTGGAACACGAACCCAGGCTGACAGACTAGCCAAAGCGGCGAGAGACTCTGCCCGCGCGAGAGAATGTTCGGCCGGAGCATCTCAAACACAGTAAGCAGTGATCTTCATGTGATTGGACTCAACAGGACTTAGTTGAAAAACGCAGCTAAAAAACGTCACAGTTTTATTCCAATCTATGGCCATGATTTATATTAGTTACTTCATTAACAAAACTTTTTTTTTTACAAGAATGTAACTTTTAACATATAGTATATGTTGCAATAAAATATTTTGCATATAGGAACAGATTTTGTTCATGGCACTGCTTATTCTATAAATGCCATAAATTCACAAAATAATTTGTTATGGTCTTAAATGGAATTCTTTTCTTGAATCAAGTGAGATTAAATAGTGCAAATTCGAACTTCATCTAAAAAAAAAAGAGAACATAAACCTTCACAAAATTTGCGTCATACAGCAACTCTTTTCTGTTGTTGTTATGAAACAAATTGAAATTAAAGAATGAGAAGACAATTGTATACAACATGCACGATTGGGAATTGAAAGTGAAAAATATAACTATCAGGAAAAGAGAAATGAACCCGTCAATGACCCACGCACAAAGACACCCTTAAAGCTGCTCGCGAGCGTGGAGTATTGTCGGGTATGTTTTGTCGTAGTTTCTTATTTCAACTGATAAATACCTATTAAAGAAATCAATACATCACACCAGCGATGTGAAGCCGTTGAAACGACTATGGGGCCATCCGAAAAGTGAGTCCATGTTTAAAAATGGGGGGGGGGGAGGTCTACCAAAACGGATAGCCTATCATGGGGAAGGTAGGCAACAATCGTAAACAATGGGGGAAGGGGTTTGTGGACCGAAAAGTACTGGACGCACTTTATGGGTGGCCCCTACCCTCACGAAGTTTTCGTGTCTATTTTGCAGTGTCTAAAACTACTTACATAAGTTATCTACACAGTTTTGAGCAGATCATCATCTTGTAACATGAGCAGCAATGAGAGCTCTGTGGCTTCGTCCACTTGGCTTGCAGCCCTCCTCTAATGGTAACTTGTGACTTGTTCATTGATGAGCGGCAAAGAAGGCGTAGACTGGGTCGGACCATTTTCCTTGCAAACACCTGCAGGTACCTGTTGCCGTTGGCTGCTGTTAGCGCGAAACTTGAGGTTTGGTTGGAGCCGTGTCGGGGAGGGCCATGCGTGGCCATGCAGCACACGCACTCACAGACAGCGGCACACCTTGTGACAATACTAGTGGGGTGGCACCCCTCCGCCGCGAGAACTACCCGCGTCTCTCCGGAATGCGTATCAGTCTGTGTCTGTTGCACTGCTGGCGAGGGCGGTAGAGGCCCCTGGCGGGCTGGCGACTCTGGCGAGGCGACGGGGGCAGGCCAGGCAGGCTGGACTCTCCAGGAGGAGCCAGACGAGGCCAGACTCTTGGAGGAGCCAGACGAGGCCAGACTCTTGGAGGAGCCAGACAGGCCGGACTCTTGGAGGAGCCAGACAGGCCGGACTCTTGGAGGAGCCAGACAGGCCGGACTCTTGGAGGAGCCAAGCAAGGGCAAGAGGCATGAAGGGGCCTCGCCTCGCCTTGTCGTCCGGGACCTAGTACAAGGTGTCGGACGTGGCGTGGTGGTGCCGGTGGCCGGCGTGGCGCACCGAGTTGAGGCCGTTGAGGGCGTGGCCGTTGTGGCCGTGGCCGTTGAGGCCGTTGCCGTGGCCGTTGCCGTGGCCTTTGGAGAGGCTCTGGCCGTTGTGGCCGTTGACGCCGTTGGTGGCGTGCAGGCCGTGGTGACTGGGGCTGGACGACTCGGACGACGAGCCCAGGGCGCTCTTGTGGGTCGAGTCGTTGGACGCGCCCGAGCCGCCGGAGCCGGACCACGAGAAGCTGGGCGGCCGGATGACGCCCTTCTCGGAGGAGCCCGTCAGCCCGCGCTTGGCGCGGCCCATGACGCGGCACAGCGCGGCCAGGCACGCGCAGGGCAGCGCCTCGCCCAGCCCGCGCACCACCTTCTCGGTGCACGTGAAGGCCAGGAAGATGAACAGCCCCTGCAGCGTGTTGAGCGCCACGAACGCGTACCTGGGGACAACGAAAGGACGTCTTGACTCCGCCACGCCAAGCCAACAAGCAGCGGTCCCTCGCACTCATGTGGCCTTGCACCTGCGTGCGAGAGAGACAGACCGACGGGCCCCAGCACTGGGAATCAGCCTGCAGCGCCGCACAGTGGGCCGGAAGACCGGTGACGGCGACCAAAACTCTAGACGCGTTTTGAGCTCCAGAGTCGCTAAACGGGGCTCGAAACGGACGTGTGACCCCACCAATGGATTCCTCGTTCGGAGAGCAATCCATTGGTGGGGTCACACGTTCGGTTCGAGTCCCATTTAGCGGCTCTGGAACTCAAAACACGTCTATAGTTTTGACCGCCTCCACTGGTCGGCCCATTGTGCGCCGAGTACTGTCACTCCGAGCGATACTCCGCGCGCAAGGGACTTCTTACACGCTCAGCGTAGAGTCACGAGGGCGCGGAGTATCACCACACCGGGGCGTTTCATCTGAGATGATGCAGCAGACTCACCAGAGGGCGTCGATGTCCAGGGTGCCCGCGATGAGCCCCACGACCCAGGTCAGCCCCATGACGATGGCGAGCCGGAAGTACAGCCGGAAGTCGCGGCGCGTGCCGGAGGTGCCGCCGGGCGGTGGCGGCGCGTAGCGCAGGGCGGGCGCCGTGCGCACGATCATGAGCGCGGAGGAGGCGAAGAGGAGCACGTTGAGCGCCATGATGACGGCCAGCGGCGCGGCGAAGAACACGAGCAGGGCCTTGCGGGAGCCGAACCAGCACGAGCGCAGCCCGAACCTGGCGGCAGTCGGAACACTGTTGAGACAAGGCGCACGAAGGGAAGAACGCACCGCCGCGCAGTGCGCCAGATGACCGGTGAAGCAGCCAAAACTCTAGACGCGTTTTGGGATCCAGAGTTGCTGAATGGAACTCCAACCTAGCGTGTGACCCCACCAATGGATTGCTCGTTCGGAGAGCAATCCATTGGTGGGGGTCACACGTTTGGTTCGAGTCCCACTTCGCGACCCTGGAGCTCAAAACGTGTCCGGAATTTTGACCACCTGCACCGGGCTTCTGGCCCACTGTGCCCCCGGGAGTCGAAGCCTCTCCTCACCCTGGTCGGTACTGGTCGTCGACGGTGCCCGGCGCTGCGGCGTCGGTGAAGAGGGAGGCGCACACGATGGCGGCGGGCATGAGCCAGGTCCACACCGAGTACAGCACGAACTTGCGCCACTGCTTGCCGGCGGACACGCGCAGCTCGCACGTGGCGAGGCGCAGCGTGCGCCACACGTCCAGCGCCATGGTCAGCATCCAGGAGAAGGAGGCCAGGAAGCTGGAAGAGAGCAGCGACGCGAGAGGGTTAGTACCGCCTGCGCCACCGCCGCACAGTGGGCCAGAAGACCGGTGGGGCGGCCAAAAATCTGGACGCGTTTTGAGCTCCAAAGTTGCTGAATGGGGTTCCAACCGACCATGTGACCCCAACAATGGATTGCTCTCCAAACGAGGAATCCATTGGTGGGGTCACACGTTCGGTTCGAGTCCCATTTAGCGACTCTGGATCCCAAAACGCGTCTAGAGTTTTGTCCGCCCCCGCCGGTCTTCTGGCCCACTGTGCGGCGCGCGGGGTGCTGAACGGTGAGGCGCAGACGCACCTGTAGAACGTGAGCACGGCGGCGACCAGGCAGCCGGCGCCGTTCTCGGGGCCCATGAGCTGGCCGGCGATGAAGGAGACGTAGGCGACGAGCAGCGACACGCACAGCGAGGCCAGGTTCTTGCCCGACAGGTTCCTCAGCTCGGGCACCAGGGCGAAGGCCAGCAGGTGCAGCAGCAGGAACACGATGGACACGCCCAGCCCCACCAGCGTCACATACCTGCGAGGCACACTGTCAGCAAGCCGCGCAAGCCGGCGCATAGGGTTGCCAACCTCAGCCTGCCCACTTGGCGATGGGCCCACTTTGCTCTCCAGACGGTGCCTGGTGCGCAGGCTGATGTTGGCAACCCTAGCGACATAGGGGGTGGCACCTTGGATGGAACTCTGATGGAGCCGAGAGCTCCGCGACGTGCGAAGCTCCCGCCCCGCCGCACAGTGGGCCAGAAGACCGGTGGGGGCGTCCAAAATTCTAGACGCGTTTTGAGCTCCAGAGTCACTAAATGGGACTCGAAACGAACGTGCGACCCCACCAATGGATTGCTCTCCGAACGAGGAATCCATTGGTGGGTTCACGCGCTCCATTCTAGTGCCCTTTGGCGACTCCGGAGCTCAAAAGCCGTCCGGGATTTGAGCTCCAGAGTCGCTGAATGGGACTCAAGTCGCACGTGTGACCCCACCAATGGATTCTTCGCTCGGAGAGCAATCCATTGTTCGGGTCACACGTTCGGTTCGAGTCCCATTTAGCGACTCTGGAGCTCAAAACGCGTCTAGAGTTTGGGCTGCCTCCACCGGTCTTCTGGCCCACTGCGCGCCGAGCGAGCCGAGGGATTGCTGATGACGCACCCCATGTACGGGCCGAACTTGTCGACGAGCTGGGGCCCTTCGACGATGCAGATCTCCAGCTTGCCGTCCTCCGTGACGCGGAACTCGCCGCGCTGGAACGTCCTGCGGTACGCCAGGACCGTGGCGTTCTGCCGGTCGGCCGACAACTCGAACTCGAACGGCTCCAGCAGGAACTTGGGGCAGCTGTCGAACGAGCGTTCCTGGTGCACGTTGTCGTGCTGGTAGTGGTCGCGGTCGCCGCGCGGCGTGGTGCTGTCCCCGTTGATGGTGACCGGGATGGGCCTGGCGGGCACCAGGTGCGACGGCCTGGTGCCGTTGACGCAGTTGCCGTTGGCGGACATGGCGGTCACTAAGGGCCCGGACGCCGGGCACAGCACGGACCGACACATGCGGAAGAAGGGGTCGTACAGCTGCGAGCTGGGGCACGCCGTCACCTGGGGGGAGCGACGGTCAGTCAGGCACGCCACAGTGGGCCAGAAGACCGGTGGAGGCGGCCGAAATCCCGGACCCGTTTTGAGCTCCAGAGTCGCTAAATGGGACTCGAATCGAACGTGTGACCCCACCAATGGATTGCTCTCCGAACGGGGAATCCATTGGTGGGGTCACACGTTCAGTTCGAGTCCCATTTAGCGACTCTGGAGCTCAAAACGCGTCTTGTGTTTTGACCGCCTGCGCCGGTCTTCTGGCCCACGGCGCGTCGGAATTACACTGTGAAAATCCGAGAGACGCACCACGCCGACGTTGATGCCGTCGCTGTCGTTGAGGTCGAAGAGCACGGCGAAGGCGGTGGGGCTGAACTCCTTGTTGTGGAAGGACCGCGTCGGCGCCTTCTGGCACTGCAGGAAGTGCAGCCCGATGTTGTTGCAGATGGCGCAGTGGGCGTTGCGGTACGGCGTCTTGTCCAGGTACACGTAAGCCGTGTACGCCTCGCAGCGGGACCGGACCTGCGGGGCACACGAGCGGTCGGTCAAGCCAAGCGGGCAGGCAGATAGTCATACGGACTGACAGGGACGAGTGCACGATCATGTGTGGTCTAGCCCTTAATGGTAATGGCGGGTAGGCCACCGACCCCCACGCGACGCAGCCGTGCTAGCCGGGCTTGCCTACCCCCGACTTCGCAGGCGGACAGAAAGACTGGTAGACAAACAGACAGACAGACAGACAGACAGACAGACAGACAGACAGACAGACAGACAGACAGACAGACAGACAGACAGACAGACAGACAGACAAACAGGTGAACGGACGGACGGACAGGGGTGTGGGAGCTTCGAGCCGCTTGAGGTTCGCCTCGGCCGGTATAACGAGTCACCCTAGTAAGGACGGCCACGTCTCGTTTCGCAGTGCAGGCGAGCTTGTGTCGGACCCGAAACGGCATACGATCATGTGTGGTCTAGCCCGTAGTGGTAATGGTAATGGCGGGTAGGCCACCGAGCCCCACGCTTTACACCCGTGCTAGCCGGGCTTGCCTACCCCCGACTTGGCAGGCGCTCGGCCGGCAGCGGTGATCTCAACGGTGGCCTGCAGTTAGACTGATTCCGAGAGTCGTTTCCGTCGCTCTGTCTCTCTCGCACTCATGGGGCGACCCGTCGTGTGCGAGAGAGACAGAGCGACGAGAACGACTCTCGGAATCAGTCTGCTGCACCACTTTCACTGGGTCACTCGGCTCCGGCAGGACTCGGACTCACAGAGCCCTTTCGTCGCTCTGTCTCTCTCACACTCACGGAGCGTCCCGTTTAGGTGAGAGAGAGAGAGAGAGAGAGAGAGAGAGAGAGAGAGAGAGAGAGAGAGAGAGAGAGAGAGAGAGAGAGAGAGAGAGAGAGAGAGAGAGAGAGACAGAGCGAAGGCTCTCGGAATCGGCCTGCTGGAGGACGCGACGGTACTTGTTTACTGCCGCTCAGTGTGTCTCCAGGCCGCCCTACTGAACCGAAGCCTCCCCCTCCCCTTCCCACCTTTGCCAGCGTGCAATGAGACGTAATCACGCTGTCATAACGGTAATTATGAGAACAGGTCCCACGGGGCGGGGCGGGGCGGGGCGGGCAGTGCGTACGCCACCGCTTGCACGCTGCCTGCAGCCTGCGCGCAGAATGGCGCCGATAGGCATCTGTCCCGGAGAGGGGCGGGGCGGGACCTCACCGCCGGATACCGCCAAGCGTTGCGTCGCTCTGTCTCTCTCGCACCCTTAGGGGAAGCCCCGCGAGAGCGAGAGAGACGGAGCGACGAAGGCACCGTTCGGAAGCGGCCGCCTTGCCTCTGCTATTCAAAGGTCTAATGTGTGCGGACGATGAATACGCCCCGATGGAGACTAGTTACTGGTTGCCTCGCCGCGTGCAGGCAAGGCAGGCAAAGGCTGCTGAGGCTCGTTTGGCCGGCCAGATTGGCAGCGCTCTTAGCCCGCCAAGGCTGGGCGTCAGGCGGCACTCCTGCCGCCGCACAGTGGGCCAGAAGACCGGCGCAGGCGGGCCAAAACTCTGGACGCGTTTTGAGCTCCAGAGTCGCTAAATGGGACTCAAACCGATCGTGTGACCCCACCAATGGATTGCTCTCCGAGCGAGGAATCCATTGGTGGGGTCACACGTTCGGTTCGAGTCCCATTTAGCGACTCCGGAGCTCAAAACGCGTCTAGAGTTCGGGCCGACCGCGCTGGCCCACTGTGCGCCTGCTTTGAGCCAATCGCTTACCATCATAAGTATTTCTGACCCCCAAATCATCCCTTCCAAAAAGTCAATCTTATAAACAAATTATTTCTTTTTCCACTTTAAGGTGTGTACACTGTGAAACCAAACGTGGACAAGTCCACACTTCCTAGTGCGGCGTAAGTCTCCACACTTGGAAGTGCAGAGTACTACGCAGGCCTCCACACTTCAAGTGTGGAATAGTGTGGAGTAGCTCACAGAGCCCCTATCTCTTTGCATGGTGCAAACGTGGACAACTCCACGTTTGAAGTGTGGAGACTGCAAACTCTGCACTTCCAAGTGTGGAGACTGAAAATTCCACTCCTCCGCATTTCAAATGTGGAGTTGTCCACGTTTGGTTTTACAGTAGTGTAGCACCGGACGGTCGCTCCTCTCACTCACCTCCTGGTTGGTCCAGTTGGGCGCGCACGCCCGCACCGTGTCGGCCTGACAGCGGCGCACCAGGTGCTCCGACGTGTCCGGCAGCACGGGGTCCACGTGGCACACGTGGAAGTGGTGCGTGGCGTTGCCCTCCGGCCCCGCGTGCGCCATGGCGTGCGCGTGCGTCGTGGCGCTGGTGGTGGAGGACGAGTTGGTGGAGGCGTTGGCGGCGGTGCGCGGCGTGCGCACGGGCACCGCCATGACCCACGACTTGATGTCCGCGTGCCACTCCAGCCCGCGGGAGTAGTCATCCCTGCCGACAACAACAACAGCAATAACGCGACGGTTCAACAACAACAATAAACAACAGCACAGCGCACAGTGGGCCAGAAGACTGGTGGGGGCGGCCAAAACACTAGACGCGTTTTGAGCTCCGGAAGGGTTAAACAGGACTCGAACCGAACGTGTGACCCCACCTATGGATTCCTCATTCGGAGAGCAATCCATTGGTGGGGCCACACGTTCACTTCGAGTCCCATTTAGAGACTCTGGAGCTCAAAACGCGTCTGGGAGTTTTGGCCGCCTCCGCCGGTCTTCTGGTCCACTGTGCAGCGCGCCGTCCACCGCCTACTCACACGGAGGCCTTGTAGACGCTGGGGCACTCGAGGCGGGGGTTCCAGACGTCGACGCGGCCCTTGGTGCCGTCCATGTCGCCGTGGCACAGCGCGCAGAAGGCGTTGCGGTACGTGAAGCCGGAGGAGTGTGACGTCACCGGCATGCTGCTCACCGGGTCGGCCTGGTCGTCGCCCATCTGCAGCACAAGCAAGCACAGTGCAGCGTTAGCCGTTCCCCTTGCTCGTCCGGTGGCTCACAGTGGGCCAGACGACCAGCGCCGGCGGCCAAAACTCTATCCGCGTTTTGCGTTCCAGAGTCACTAAACAATGCTCGAACCAAACGTGTGACCCCACCAATGGATTCCTCGTTCGGAGGGCAATCCATTGGTGGGGTCGCACGTTCCATTCGAGTCCCTTTTCGCGACTCTGGACCTCAAAACGCGTCCGGGGTTTTGACCGCCACTGAGCGCCTCCCGAAGGCAGCCAGACACTCACCTCGCAGTTCTTCCGGACGTCGGCGTCCTCCCAGCCCGGCGGGCACGAGGACTTCATGTAGATGCCGCCGAACTGGCGCAGGTCCACGCAGGAGAACACGGCGCCGGAGCGGCGCTGCTGCGCGGCCGCGTAGTGCGGCGAGTCCACGCAGCAGTCGCCGTACTGCGCGCACAGCGCGTCGCAGAAGCAGTTCCGCTCCCGCCAGTCCAGGTCGTCGCCGACGCGGGAGGCGGCCGCGCGCCCGCGGCCCTTGGGGGTCTCGCACGAGGAGCGGCCATCGCACGTCCTGCGGGACAGAAAGCAGGAAACAGTGTCGTCAGTTGCACCTCGACGGAGGGGTGACAGCGTCCAGTCGCACAGTGGGCTAGAAGACCGGTGGAGGCGGTCAAAATCCCGGACGCGTTTTGAGCTCCAGAGTCGCTAAAAGGGACTCAAACCGAGCGTGTGACCCCACCAATGGATTCCCCGTTCGGTGAGCATTCCATTGGTGCGGTCAAAATCCCGGACGCGTTTTGAGCTTCAGAGTCGCTAAATGGGACTCGAACCGAACGTGTGACCCCACCAATGGATTGCTCTCCGAACGGGGATTCCATTGGTGGGGTCACACGCTTGTTTCGAGCCCTGCTTAGCGACTCTGTAGCTCAAAACGCGTCTAGAGCCGGTAAATCCGCTAAAAGGCCCAAATTCCACCTGCCTCGCCCTCCTCGCACCGCGCGGCCTTGAGGGCCGAGGGCGTTGTGCAAGCGGCAAGAGCGGCGCTGTAAATCCGACGCCGGGGTCATTAGGGGCGTGATTTGCCGCGGCGGACCGCCGCCATATATTTCGAGTATAGCGGGCGAAGCAGGCGAAGCGGGCCCTGGGAATGGCGGAATGGAGGAAAGGCGGCAAACGAACCGGATTCCGCGGTCGCCGCAGCACTAAATGCACGGCCCAGGGCCGGGGCTGGGGCAGGCCAGGGCGCGAAATGAAAAACGGGCTGGAACAAAGACAGCCACAGCCACACACACACACACACACACACATACATAACAAAATCACAAACACACACATGCACGCACACGCACACACACGCACGCACGCGCCTCGGAGGGAAAAGATATGCCCCTCTAGACGCACGCTAGACGCAACTCGGCGCCTTGGCGCTGCGGCTGGCTCGGCCCCGTCAACGCCAGGCAACGCCATCGAGGCCTGGACGCTGGTGGTGGATGCTGGATGCTCCGAGGCACTATTAGCCATTAGGCCAGCCGTTAACCAGTCGTTGGCTCCGTTTGGCTACATCGGTCACGCGTGGACCCTGACGGCGCCTGACGGCGGGGACGGGGTTTGTTACCGCCGCGCGCGCACCGCCTCCCGCTGCAGGCCCTCAAAGTGCCCCGTCCATCATCGGGCCGGCCGGGGTTGCTGCCGTGCCACTGTCCCCGCTGTCCGCGCCACTATACAGTGCACAGAGCACTGCGCCGCGTTACGGCCTCTTAAGTTTTCGTCATGTCGTTCGGTTGGCTCACTAGTGGAACGCATTCCGGGGACGCACGAGTTTGTTTGTGAGTGTGTATGACGTGTGTGTGTGGTGTGTGTGTGTGTGTGTGTGTGTGTGTGTGTGGTGTGTGTTCAACCCGCGCCGCGTATGGTTTTTTAAAAGACAGGTAACGCGCCGAGAGAGTCAACGATGACGACGACGACGACGACTCGGGTGGGCTGCATCATAGTGGTCGTCACGTGCGCGGCGAGAGAGAGAGACAGAGATAGAAATCCCGCCCCGGTTTTCCCCCTAAAGTGGCGTTTGTTTCGGACACTTTGTATTCGTCGCGTAACGAATTTTTGCTCAACCCGTGCGGTCTAGAAAAAGAGACCAGCGGGCAGGGAGGATCTGGACTGCATAACAATACGCACACACAGACACACACACAGGCACACGGACACAGACTCACACACACACTCACGCTCGTCAGGAGTCCTCGTCCAGATTAGTCCCCGCATGTCTCCTCACGCTCCGCGCCGCTCCGCAACTGATGCAACACCACAGCCCGGCGCCTCGTTGGGCCTCTGGCCGAACAATTGTGCATTGTGCCTCGAACCTCGGACCTCGAACCGGGCGCCCCGAAGTCCCGACCCGGATCAGGCCCCAATCAATCCCCGGGGCGACCTCTTCGCGCCCAGTGTTTCAAAAAGTGTGCCAACGTCGAGGTGCAGGTCGTCGACGGCGTGGTCGAGGTGCCCGTCGTCATAGTGCAGGTCAGCGTCGGCGTGGACGTGGTTCTCGTCGTCGCGGTGGTCGCCGTCGTGGTGGTGGTCGTCGTCGTCGTGGTGGTCGTCGTCGTCGTGGTGGTCGTCGTGGTGGTCGTCGTCGTCGTGGTCGTCGTCGTATTGCTCGTCGTCGTGGTGCTCGTCGTCGTGGTGCTCGTCGTCGTCGGCCTGGTCGTGGTGCTGGTCGCCGTCGACATCGTCCTGGTGCTCGTCGCCATGGTGCAGGTTGCCGTCGACGTTATCCTGGTGTTCGTCGAGGTCCTGCTCTACATCGTCGTCCTCGCCATCGTCGCCGCCTCGGCCGCCATCCTCCGTCTCCTCGTCGCCCCGCCCCGCCCGCACTCTTAGCCAAACATTGTTCCCAGGGCCGTTCCCACGTGGGCGTGGAGGGGCGTGGCGGGGCGCGGCGGGGCGTGGCGGGGCGTGGTGGGGCGTGGCGGGGCGTGGCGGGGCGTGGCGGGGCGTGGCCGAGGAGAAAGGACCTGCCGGTTATCACCTGCCCTGTCCCACCTGCTTCGACTCAGGTGGAAACAGAAGCCACTTGAGAGCCGCCGCCGCCGCCGCCGCCGCCGCCGCCCCACCCCGACGCCGTGAAGGCCGTGAAGGCCGGGTCGAGGCCGTCCGCTGCCCATTGCCCACAGGCCTGGCATGAATCAGACTAGTGCTCTTTCACTTGTGTCTCTGCGTCCTCTGCGTTCGACTGTTGGGCGTCGCGGGCGTGGCCGGGCGTGGCGGGGCGTGGCATGGCGTGGTGTAGTGGGGCGTGGCGGGGCGTGGCATGGCGGGGAGTGGCGCAGCGCGAGGTGGCCGCCCCACAGTGGGCCAGAAGACCGGCGGAGGCGGCCAAAACTCAAGACGCGTTTTGAGCTCCAGAGTCGTTAAAAGGGACTCGAACCAAGCGTGTGACCCCACCAATAGATTGCTCTCCGAACGAGGAGTCCATTGGTGGGGTCACACGTTCAATTCGAGTCCCATTTAGTGACTCTGGAGCTCATTTAGTGACTCTGGAGCTCAAAACGCGTCTTGAGTTTTGTCCGCCTCCGCCTCCACCGGTCTTCTGGCCCACTGCGCGCCCTGACTCATTCAGCAGGTGGAGCAGTGCCTTCGAGTCCGTGCAGGATCACGACGACGTCGCACAAACTTTGCGAATCATCAGAAGTGAGTGAGGTTGCCACCCGCCGCCAGACGCTGACAACCTGCCGACGCGTCCGACGGACTAGAGCAGCGCCGCCGTGTGGCAACACTATGAAGCCCGGAAGGCGGCGTCGCCGTCGGCCACATTTTTTCCCTGTTTGAGGCTTTCGCCGCGTTGTGCCATCTACACCGCAAGGCTGGTGCCGGGCCGGCCGGCGGGCCGCACCTCTGGCAGACGATGTAGATTTCTCTGTCGGTGAGAACAGAGCGGACAGGACGGACAGAACGCGCGGGGCGCCGACGGGGCGCGGCGGGGAGAAAAAGTGGTTGCAACACAACACACTGCGAACTGCGAGCGTGTTGTCGTGTGTCTTTGATTTGATTTCGACCCTCCCATACGCGTGCCCGCCGTGCCGGGCTGCGGGCCGCTTCCGAGCAACAGTGCCTCGTCGCTCTGTCTCTCTCGCACCCGAGCGGGCGCGCCCGTGAGTGCGAGAGAGACGGAAGGACGAAAGCACTTCTCGGAGTCGGCCTGCTGCGTCTGCGTCCCGAGGGGCACTCACGACCCGAACAATGGGCTCGGCGTCGAAGGCAGCCCGCGAGGCCCGCCGCACAGTGGGCCAGAAGACCGGTGGAGGCGGCCCAAATTCTAGACGCGTTATGGGCTCCAGAGTCGCTAAATGGGACTCGAACCGAGCGCGCAACCCCACCAACGGATTCCTCGTTCAGAGAGGAATCCATTGGTGGGGTCACACGTTCGGTTCGAGTCCCATTTAGCGACTCTGGAGCTAAAACCGCGTCCGGGATTTTGACCACCTGGCCCACTGTAACCGCTGTGCCGCGCCCGGCCCGAACGATCCGAACCCGCAGCCCGGTGGACAAGCTGCGGAATTCTGGAACTTGTGAAGCAATCGATGACAAGTGTGTTTTTCGGCGCCGTCAGGCCGTCAGCGCAGCGGGGCGTCGCCGTGGCCGCTGACGGCGGGCTGCTGGTAGCAGCAGTGCAGGTTCGGACCATCCCAAGGACCATCCCGATGAACGCACCCTGAGCCAAGAGCGGGAGCAAAGTGCGACTTGTTGCATTTCTCTCAGTCGCCTGCTGGTCTTCCTGTAGACTGATTCCGAGAGTCGTTTTCGCCGCTCTGTCTTCCTCGCACTCATGGGGCGTCCCCTGAAGGTGCGAGAGAGACAGAGGGACGAAAACGACTCTCGGAATCAGTCTGCTGATGCCTCAAGGCAGGACTCCCCCTGGATCCTGCCTTGAGGTATAATGAGGAACCAAGCAGGCAGGGCAGGCACGCCATCCTACACAAAACGGCTCGATCGCCAAAACAGCCCTTAAACGTGACACGCGCGTTTGGCGGCGGCGCGGTTTGAACCCGCGACCGCGGCGTCACCCCGGCGTGCCGTGAGGTGTGAGGTCTATCGCAAGTCGCGCTGCGTGGCGCGTGGCGTGGGAGGTCGCGGTTCGGCGCGATGCTTTGGGCGATCGCGGCTCGGCGGCGTGCTCCTGCGGCCTGCGGTCGAGTTAGAGAGGGAGCGGCGACAATCAGGCTGTGGACTGATTCCGAGGGCCGCCTTCGTCGCTCTGTCTCTCTCGCACTCGTGAGGCGTCCCCTATAGGTGCGAGAGAGACAGAGCGACGAAGGCGGCCCTCGGAATCAGTCGACTGGCGGCGCGAAAGGGTGCGAGAGAGCGCGAGGCACTGGAGCAGGACGGTCTAATCATGCAGGCTGACGACACGACGGTACGACAAGTACGACACGGTGCCCTACCCCACGCCTCGAAAAGCCACAGCGTCCCTCAGTCAGTCCGTCGCGCCGTCGCGCGCGCCGTATGGAAATGATGCTTTCTTCGGCGGGGCGTTCCACGGGGCGTTCCACGGGGCGTTCCACGGGGCGTTCCACG